ATAAATGTTTATTTGAACTAATCTAATTAGTTTTTTGTAGTGACACATTACTTGTAATTTTTCTAATGTTTTATCATCGTGTCCTCCATGAACTTTAGTAACTGTACACCAAACGTCTTTCTTAGCATCATAGCAACCCATTAAAAATATTGACATCATACCACCTAATAAAATCAAAAAATTTATAGACATATTATTACAAAAAAAATCTTAAATAAAAATTAATTTTAACATTTTATTAACACTTTACCTTTGTTGCCAGTTCCAAACCAAGCACCTAGAACTACAAGATCAGCACTATCTGCCATTGTACCTCCAAACAAATAGTCTTTTTTTACTTTTTGCCAATGTCTTTTACCAGGTTCGTAAACACCCTTTTATTAAAAACAACAATAAAATTAAAATCACGAATGTCGATACATAAATTATATTATCGAATACAATATTGAACAACAATTTATAAAGATATAGTTTGTAAAAACAATACATAAATAGACATATTACACATATAATACAAAAAAAAAAAATTCATTAAATCAATGTCAGAATTTATTAAAGGTTTAAAACAATTTTAAAAAAATGTTAAAAATAAAAATTCTCGAAGCAAATCTGCATTTCAAAAAAAATTTGGAATTATACTTGAATGAGTTAAATGACATTATAAATAAGTTAACTTTTTTAAAAAAATTCACTTGTTAAAATTATTATTTATAAAACTTATTGATAATTAATTTCATTTTACATAGTTGAAATTAATTATTTAAATAAGAACTACAATTGTGCATTAAATTTAAACAAAGTAGTTTTTTATACAAAATATAGTAAGGACGAATGAAACTACAAGTAACAATAAAAATCTTACAGTTAAATCTTTTAATACTAATCCTTCAAAACCTTGTTTTAATACATTTTCCACCATGGCTTCTAACTCCTTAACTCTCTGAAAAAAAGAATACAATTCAAATTATTTAAGTAATGATATATTCACGGACTATATCTAATACGAACATGCAACTCTTTTACTTCTGAAAACATAATATGGCCTTTAATTTCTATCATATTTTGCTCTAGTACTTTCCTACGTTCAACAATTGATCTTCAATAACCATAAAATTAATCTATGTTTAACATATGAGTATCAAAATTATATACTAAATAGTTAACATACTTGTCTAAGAGCGATGTGCCATTGTAATACATGCAATCGAAAACAAATAAACAGGGATTAGCATCTTTAAATTGACTTTTCTGCAACATATCATAGGCACAATTTGAACAAAGTGTTTGGAAAATCTAATTTAATTTTTCCCCTCTTTAAAAATATTTTTATATATAAATTTTAACATTTAGTTTTCATTTTTTGGTAAAAGAGGTTGTAGCAAAAATTGGTGCGCAAACCTCCTCTAGACCACCAGATTGCGCCTATGCGAATAAAATTAATGTTATATGAAAAAACATATATACAAATAAAACTTGGGCATTTTGAAATTTGATAAAACGTAAAAATATATATACCTTATGAATACCTAAAGTACCAAAAGGAAGCGGTTTGTTTGTATTAACGTCAAACATCAACACTTCACAATCCAGTATCATATCTCGACCGTGTTGAAAAGCTTTTGGTATATATTCTTTGAACATTCTTACCTATATTCAAACGATTTTAGAAATAAAAAAAAATTTAAACATACTTTTTAGTAACACTGAAAAAACATTAAAATTTTTTTTTGTAAAAAAAGACTACATATATATACAGAGTGTTCAGTAAATAAGGAAACGAATTTCTATTGTACTCATTGTTTGTAACAATTTAACTGTTTCCTAACTTACTGAACACTCTGTATATATATATAGCTGAAAATGTTATCTTCCAAAATAAGTATAACTATGAATTGGTTTTAAGTTTTTCTCCTCGAAAAAAAATTTCTAAATTTACTTAACATATATACAAAGTAAACATAAAAATGAGTTTTATTAAAAAGAAATTTTATAAAAAGTAGTGATACTCTAAATGAGGCTATTGCAATGGCTTTAACTAACCTTTAATTGTTATTTTTATACATATTAAAGGGCATTACCTATGAAATTTGCAAAATATGAATATTGTTTAAGGGTTTTCCCTGTTGAGCACCCTCGACATGAACTCTGTAAAAAGTATGCCTATTCTAAGAAGATTAATTTTTAGTTTAGATTTTAATATTCCAAGTAGAAAACAATCACAGTAGCTCTACAAAATAGTATTCATATACAAAAATAACAATATAACTCATAATATCTATGTTTTCTTATACATTTTTACAAACTTTATAATTTATTAAGCTCCTCTATTAAATTATAACTTACACAACATGTTTCCTACTTCTATCGTATTCTATACTATTTTTATAAATATAAAATAAAATTTTTACCTTGTGGTCTAAAACAGGCTTAAGACTCCGAGAAAAAAATTTGTATTCTTTTTCACTCTTATGTAGTTGTACACGTTCACCGTCATATTTAATTTCTGAATAAATACCTGAAGGACACTTTTTAAACACATCACTTAGACATTTGCACGGTTCAGCCTTTACAAAAATTAAAATAGACTTAAAAATTACACTATGGACAGACTAAACATATTTTTACAATTGAAGTTAACATTTGATTAAATCACCGTTTTTTAATTTTATTGATTAATATTCTAAAATGTACAAATATAAATTTGTTTTATACAGATATTCAATAAATAAGTAAAAAAATTTCTATTGTTCTCATTGTTTATAAAATTTACTTATTCTTTACTTATTGAACACCATAAATACATAATGTAAAAACATCCCTATACAAACCCCAGGGATGATTAGAGTGTTTTATAATTAAAGAATCAGATCAATTATTAGACAACGGCATTAATTCCTATTATATACTTTTGTATATTCTGCGTATTGAATAAAGTATATCCGTTCATTAAGTATAAAATTCCAATTTTTCGTATAATTTTAAACCAATTTTCTAAATGCCTTAACCAATTTTCTACTTTTCTCATTATAAATCCACTGTTGACATAGTACATAATTGTCAACTATGGTTACATTTAATTTTTTTTTTTATTTGATCTAAACAGAGGTCTAAAATTTTATGCTAAATCTCAGTAACTTATTATATTTTAAAATTACCAAATCTTATAACTAAATAGATTAAATAATTAAAAATACAATTTTATATTTTAAAAAATGGTCAAATGTTAGTTAGGTAATATAATAATAATTTTAAAAAATAATAAAAATGCCATTATATGGTTTTAAAAGTTATTTCACTAGTTAAAATATGCTGACTCATTCTTTAATACGTATATGAGAGAAAATTATATAAAGTGTTTAGTAAGTAAGGAAACGGGTTTTTATTGTTTTCACTTGTTCCGTCACTATTTAGGGGTGGAGCCTAAATGCCCGTCAACAGTATTCTAAGAGACCAACGGGTGATAGCTGGCTAGGCTATATCTACCTTAGGTACTGAGGTTTCCTATTTAATTTATATTCCCTTAAAGGAACTACAAAGGGTCGTACTACAATATATATATATAACACTCTTGGTTAACAAGGATATAAATAAATATTTATTAAGTGATTGAAATATTAAATAGATAATACAACCTGCTGGACACCTAGAGATGATATAATCCAACAGGGAGCTGATGGCGACACACACACACACACTATAGGGATATCTTATTATGGCACATTGGCCGTGAATTACAAAAGTGTTTANATACGTGGTAGAAAGGTTAAGTTAATTATCAGACAAAAGTAGTGATCGCGATGATGGTAAAAGGTCAACTGTCGATAGGGATATCTTATTATGGCACATTGACCGTGAATTACAAAAGTGTTTATGTGTGCAGNGACCGTAAATTACAAAAGTGTTTATATGTGCATTCTGCCCTCCTGTTAGTATTGTTGTATGTCACTTTGTTAATTATATATATATGTGTGTCTATTAAACGGTACAATGATGTTATGGGAGACAGAGATATGGGCACATGCAAATCTGATCGTATCAGCTGCTCCCCCTACACTTAAGGTCTGACCCTAGACCTTAATAACAAAACAAAAGAACTTTGGCAAAATAATTCTACGTAGGAAAAGAAAAATAATGTAAAAAAAAATTTCGGAGGGACATCAGTGTCGTTGTAAGAACCTCTGGGTCTTCGATGTCCACACTCCTTAATTTACAAGCTTTTGAGCGTTGGAGGAGCTTCCTTCGTGTGGGCTCTCAATAGTCGGCTACCAAGCGGTTCCTATGAAAAGCCCGGCCCTGTCGTCGACTTCTTGAATAGTCTCGGGGCCCCAAAGAGTATTCTCCGTGTTCTCGAGGACTGTTCAGAACACTAACGCNGTCCCAAAGAGTATTCTCCATGTTCTCGAGGTCTGTTCAGAACGCTAACGATTATTATTAAAACAAAATTAATAATTAAAAGGGGTTGTTGGGGTACCGAATAAGCAATAAGCAATGCATGCATAATGAATGAGAAATGTTTATGAATTAAAAAAAAAAATAATTTAATGCTATTTTTGACAATAAAAATAAGTTAAGTTAACCTAATGTATGCAGCCAAAACGTTGTCAAAAAATTGCATACATTTATAATAGATGTCTTAAATTAAGTTAAGCATGCTCGATAATAGAACTAATGTATACAGTAAAATATATGCGAAACACACACAGTGACCATCTTATAAAATTCAGTGTCCATTTATTATAGAAAAAAAAAGAAATATACTAAAGAAATAGTATTTTGAATTAGGCTGACTTGCGCCTTAGTTGCGAGACGATTATTTTATATAACTATACTGCAATAAGGGTAGCCGTGATAACTGCTGTTTAAAAGACCACGATTTTTGCTGCTGTAACAACTTAGTTAACTTGTTAATGTATATATTAAACGTGCATGTCGAATTGATTTTATAAAGAAATAAATTTATTTAATAATATTAACTAGCTCGCTCTATTAGTAACAATCGTAATTAAGTGAATAATGTATATTCAATGAGTTCATAATANAAGTGAATAATGTATATTCAATGAGTTCATAATATGTTATACATAATATGTACAAAGGGATTGACTGTTATAAACATATGAATAGAATCCGTTATTCAAATTTGTCACGTAAGATTATAGCTAGGGATGTGGCGACCGTTGACTGTATAGTGTTGTTCATTTTATGTTTAACCTATTTGGACTGAAGATGCATGGAGTGTTATGTTGGAAATTATATTTGGTAAGTACCATAATAAAATAATTTTTTAAATTTAATAATAATAAACAAGGGTTTTATTTGCCACAAATATTCTTTCAAACTCAATTTTATAAAATTCGATACTATTAATTTTTCAAATAGATTATTTAGAAAGTAAATTTTCTTAAACC